AAAACAAAGTAAAAAGATTACAACAAAGATCCCAACAGTCACTGAAACATCTGTAGATGTTCATAACTTTTTCGAGCCTCTTGAGATGGATGTTACCCCATCTTCACACCACAACAATAGTGGTGACTCATCTTCACATTCACGTGAGCGTTCTCCTATAGAACCACCATGAATCATTCTAGTCTAATTCAATGGAATTGCAGAGGGCTTAGGCACAACTTTAATGAACTACAGTTATTAACAACAGATTGTATTCCATCAGCAATTTGTTTACAAGAGACGTACTTAAAAAATACAGATAACTTTGAATTAAGGCAGTATAGTTCCTATCATTCTTTTTCTCCTCCAGGAGATAAAGCTACTGGAGGTGCTTCCTTGTTGGTGCGGCGGGGCGTTGTTCACAGTCCTGTTCCGCTTGACACGAATTTGCAAGCAGTTGCAGTTAGACTTACACTGCATATTGCCTTCACACTTTGCTCCTTATACATTCCTCCATCTTCAAATCTTCAGCGTAATGATCTACAAAAACTGTACGACCAGCTCCCAAAGCCCTGTCTCATCATGGGTGATCTAAATGGTCATAATCCTTTATGGGGAGGTTCTATCATTAATCAAAAGGGTAAAATCATTGAGGATTTTGTTTCTGATAATGACCTCTGCATCTTTAACGATGACTCGGACACCTACTTACACCCTGCAACTGGTACGTATTCATCATTAGATCTGTCTTTGACGGATTCAGTTTTGTTGAATGAATTCTCATGGTCCGTCCATGATGACCTATGTGGGAGTGACCATTTCCCCACGGTGCTTAAACCAATTAATCCCGCTGTTGATCCACCTTCACCTCGATGGAATTTTGTGAAGGCTGATTGGCTTTTATTTCAATCTTTATGCAAAGATAAATTACTACCTACGTCTTTTCAAAATGTTACTGACCCGATTCAGTTGTTCTCAGATCTACTGAATGAAATTGCTGATGAATCAAGTCCTCGATCAACCCACGTGTTCGTAAACCGTGGTTTGATGACACTTGCAAACAAGCTAGGAAATGTCGTAAGAAGGCGGAGAAGTACTTCCGTAAACATCCCACTGTCCATAATTTAAATATTGTAAAAATTTCAAATGCCAAGGCAAGACGTCTATTTAAGCAAAATAAACGTCAATCCTGGCGGACTTATGTCTCCAAAATTAACTCTCGTACCCCTATGTCCAAGGTATGGAACATGATTAAAAAGATCAAAGGCAAGGGATCAAATTCTACAGTTAACCATCTGAAGGATGGCGATACTATGTTAACTGATAAATCTGCCATTGCCAATAGCATTGGTGAAACTTTATCTCATCATTCTTCTTCATCTAATTACGCTCCTGAATTTCAAAAATATCAGCTTCAACAGGAAAAGAAAAAAGTAAATTTTACATCTGATAATGGTGAAGATTACAATGAGGTATTTTCACTACATGAGCTATATACTGCCTTAGGGCAAGCTCATGATACAGCAGCAGGCGCTGATAATATTCATTATCAGCTGCTGAAACACTTGCCCGAATCATGCCTTGAAACTATGTTAAATATATTCGATGATATTTGGACATCTGGGATGTTTCCACCTTCATGGCATAAAGCCATTGTTATCCCCATTCCCAAACCTGGGCGGGATCATTCTGATCCATCAAATTACCGACCTATCTCTTTAACTAGCTGTGTTTGTAAAACGATGGAACGCATGGTAAATAATCGATTAGTGTGGTACTTGGAAACAAATAATCTTCTTTCCAATATACAATGCGGTTTCCGTAAAAACAGAAGTACTATCGATCACTTAGTGCGTTTAGAATCGTTCATAAAAAATTCCATTGTAAATAGACAACATGCTGTATCAATCTTTTTCGACTTAGAAAAAGCTTACGATACAACATGGAAACATGGTATTTTAAAAGATCTTCATGATTTTGGATTAAGAGGCCGTCTGCCTCATTTCATATCACAGTTTTTAACAGACAGGCAATTTCAAGTCCGAGTGGGTACAACCCTGTCTGATCATTATAATCAGGATCAGGGTGTCCCACAAGGCAGTATTTTGTCTGTCACTTTATTCAGTATAAAAATTAACAGTTTGTCAAAAGTTTTAAATGATTCAGTTGATGGATCACTTTTTGTGGATGATTTTAATCTATCTTGTCGTGGTAAAAATATGCACACAATAGAAAGGCAATTACAATTATGTCTTAATAAAATTAACAAGTGGTGTCTAGAAAACGGGTTTAAATTTTCCAAATTAAAAACTAATTGTATACATTTCTGCAGAAAATATAAGCCACATAAGGACCCTGAACTATTTCTGAATGGCACTCCTATCAAAGTTGTTAAGGAGGCCAAGTTCTTGGGACTTATTTTTGATAACCACTTAACTTTCCTTCCACATATTAAATACCTAAAAGCTAAATGCCTGAAGGCACTCGACTTATTGAAAGTTGTTTCTAATTCAAAGTGGGGAGGGGATCAAACAACTCTCTTACACTTATACAGGTCACTAATCCGTTCAAAACTTGATTATGGCTCCATCGTCTATGGTGGAGCCTGTAAAAGTAATTTAAAAAAACTTGATACGATACATCATCAGGGCCTGAGGCTTTGCCTTGGTGCCTTCAGGACGTCTCCAATTCACAGTCTATATGTAGAAGCGGATGAACCTTCTCTTAAACAACGCCGTCTAAAATTATCTTTACAATATGTCACTAAATTATATTCTAATCAGTCCAATCCAGCTTTTAATTGCGTCTTCAATCCTCTTTACCAAGATATTTACAATAAAAAGTCATCTCTTGTTCCACCACTCGGAATCAGAATCCAGTCTGCCTTGTTTGCTTCCAATATTAAACTGCAAGATATAGCTCCTACTCAACAGTTTTCAACACCTCCTTGGCAAATGGTACGGCCAGAGGTTGACCTTACATTAACAAAATTAAAGAAATCAGATACTAACCAATTAATTTACCAACAAGAATACCACCAACTTAGAAACAATTATGACACTTATAAATCTTTATTTACAGATGGATCCAAGGATGGTGGCGCAGTTGCTAGTGCCACTGTCATTGGATCCAGAACAATATCTTCACGTTTACCTGATAACAGTTCCATATTCACTGCAGAAGCAAACGCCATTTTTACAGCACTTAAATATATCAGTAATCAAGCTAAACATAAACAATTCATACTGTTTTCAGATTCTCTTTCATGCCTTCAGGCGATTAAAAATATGTCATCAAAACATCCACTTTTAATCCAAATTCTCGAATTATTTAATGATCTTGCTACTGGCCAATATGACATCGTCTTTTGTTGGTTACCAAGCCATGTTGGTATCATTGGTAACACAATGGCCGATGCTGCTGCAAAAGCAGCCCTCAACAAATCTGTGACACCACTTCTGATCCCATACACTGATTTTCAACCCATGATTCGATCTTACATCAGAGATCTTATGCAACAGAAGTGGGACGCCCAAGTAGGTATCAATAAATTACATGAAATTAAACCAAATATCGGTTACACCTACTTGGGTTGTCAGTCCAGGTTTGAAGAGGTCATTATGCGACGATGTCGTATTGGCCACAGCAGATATACGCACGAATATTTATTACAAGGTGAGGATCCTCCGTTTTGTATCCCTTGTGATGTAAGAATCACGGTCAAGCATGTCCTGCTTGACTGTGTTGATTTTTCCATCACAAGGGATAAATATTTCAATGTAAAAACAATTAAGGACCTTTTTACTGATGTTAATTCTCGTTTAATATTATGTTTTTTAAAGGAAATAGAGCTTTTTCATAAATTTTGATGTGTTCAATGTATTATTTTAAAAATTGGTAGTGCGAAATTCATAACTTAGATTGTTAGTGGCTGTACCCTTGAGGGGGGTTGAAGTAGCGTAAAATTATTGTCCCCCTAAGAGGGTATGTAAGTCCCAAATCATTCGAAGTATTTTTCTGCGCACTAGGCTTTTAAACGTAGTATCTTCGTTATTTTAATCTAAGGCTTAACTGGTACACTGTCGCCAGTGACTGAAGGGATGATATAAATCCTGCCGGGGTCCATGCAGGAAGCAAAAGTACTGTAAGTCCCCATGGTCCCCAGTATGGTGATCTCCCTTCAGTTGCTGACGATTTCTAGCCCATTTTTAAATTGTGCTGTTCATTAATGCTTACTGCGTTTTAATATTCTCAACTAGTTTTAAATCAAGTCTGTGATATTCTAGTTATTCTACTGTCCTTCGTTGACAGCTTTTTATTCAGTTTAAATATATGTATCATAAATGTATCATAAATGTACTTTCTCGTCACGATCTGGCTGAAATATTGCCCATGTGACGTTAAATAATAACTCACTCACTCACTTAAACCTTAAGTTGGCAGTGTGTCGGCCTAGTAACGTTTTGATAACGTTTGTAATTCTTTGGTCAAATCCAATTTCCATGTGTATGCTTTCTTCTGCCCGGCAGGGTATTAGCGACAAACGGATATATACGTGGATATAAACATGGCTATAAACATGGCTATATACATGGCTATATACATGGCTATATACATGGATATATACATTGCTATATACGTGGATATATACATGGCTATATACATGGATATATACATGGATATATACATGGATATATGCATGGCTATATACATGGATATATACATGGCTATATACATGGATATATACATGGCTATATACATGGATATATACATGGCTATATACATGGATATATACATGGCTATATACGTGGATACATACATGGCTATATACGTGGATATATACATGGCTATATACATGGATATATACATGGCTATATACATGGATATATACATGGCTCTATACATGGCTATATACATGGCTATATACGTGGATATATACATGGCTATATACATGGATATATACATGGCTATATACATGGATATATACATAGGCAACACTTCTGCATATTTGATATACGTACCCTTGAACCTTAAGGACAGGCGACACATAGAACAGACAGAAGTCCACGGTGCTGCAGCCACTCATGGTAATGGGGTCAGCGTCTGTCAGAGGCTGGATCTTGCTGGGGTTGTTGTAAGGGAAGATCATGGAAGTCGGGAACTGAAACAGCAACCCGACATTTGCACAACATATCAACTATGCTCCCTGTTCGTTTCCAAATTTAGCATAGCCTTGCGCTTTAAGTGTGGATGGATGTAGAACGCATGTCACAGGTTGTGTTTGAAATACTGCAAGTATTTCACCGAGACAGCCAGAACAGTCAGGTTTTTCTTTCTCGTTTTAGGAAGATGCTTTAAGGAAACTTATTTCTCTTCTTTCTTTATCTGCTTTACAGAATCACCATACAGTGATACATGGTTCTTTCAAAGTAGGTCAAGTTATCCGTTGAGAGTCTAGGCATTTAGAAGTTGGATGTAGTCACGACAAGGAGATTGTGTACCACACCTTGTTTTTTATATACTTCTCAAAACATGTTAAAGAACACCTGCAATTGACACAAACATGGACTTTTTAAACTTCTTTTGAGTGGTATACATACACAACGTTATATGGCTAGTTCTTGTCCTTTCGTCAGGTGACTGACAGGTGGGAGAACATCCAGATGAAGCCAGTGATGATGTTACTGATGTTATATAACTACGGAGGAGTTGATGGTCGTGACAGTTGGTATAGGGGAGTTGGGGGGGGGGGGGGGGGGGGGGGGGGGGGGGGAGAAGTAGCCCTGAAACGTTGTGTGGTATCCATAACACTCGTTGTCCTGAACCTATGCGTTGTTTGAGTACAGACTTGAATGCCATGCCGTAGAGTTTAACAAAAGGCTGGTGTCCTGTCCTTGGTTTTAGTCTGACGTGGGGAAGGGGTCAAACTACCAGTTGTCCACTCTCTTTATCCACTACACCAAGGAGGGGGTCATATGTAAACTGAACAGAACACTGTGTTAACTTACTCCTTGGAAGCCAGCCATGCCGGGCGTCATCGTGTAACTACCAGTCAACTCCGCAGCAAGGATGATACCAAACTTGTTCTTCCCTCCAAAATCTGAATATGTTGACCACACTTCTCCGTCTGGTCCCTCAAAGTCTCCCCAGGCCATCTGTCAGGCAAGATCAGGTTTGTGACATATCTGACAAACGTTGATAGTTCATGATATATTTCTTCTGGACAAAATGGGAACTTACTTTTCGAATTGTATTGTCTATGGCAGTTGCAGGGCGGGATGGTTTCAAAATAAGTCCGTCCGCATTTACGGATCTGTAAACATATGAAGAGGACAAGAGCGTTAGTTGCTGGGGTGCATGACAGTATAGCTGTTATTGTAATCGATAACCATATCAGTTTTTTCACATTTGTTTACAATCTGGTGTCCCTGGTCCAGATTGTGTGGTAACAGTGGAATATTGTTGACTGTGGCAACATTTACCCTGACTCACGCTTTCTGTTACAGACGCAACACTCACACATGCTCTGTAATGTGAATAAGATACTGTTCATTGCGGCGTTAAGCCAACTTACTCCCCATCCCTGTTTGTGAGGTAAGGTGATTTGGGACTTACCGTCACGTTCAAGACTGTTGCACTTACATAGCGCGCGTGTGTGTGTGTATGTATTTGTGTATGTGTATGTGTGTGCGTGTATATGTGTATGTGTGTGTGTATGTATGTGTATGTGTGTATATATGTGTGTATGTGTATGTGTGTGCGTGCGTGCGTGTGTGTGTGTGTGTGTGTGTGTGTGTGTGTGTGTGTGTGTGTGTGTGTGTGTGTGTGTGTGTGTGTGTGTGTGTGTGTGTGTGTGTGTGTATGATTGTATGTAGGTTCATAACAATAACAATATATAAACAGTACGTACTTCATGCAAATACTTCACGAACATGAGCCTTGAAAGCTGACACGCCTGACATAACTGAAATACTGTTCAGAGCGCCGTTGCGCCAAATTCACTTATTCTGAATACGTCCCGTCTAATATTGTGAACGGATGTTGGCACTTTAGGAATGTGTGGGTTACACTGTCCGTTCATTTACATTTAACTCATGCTTGCTGTAAGAGGCCACCGTGCTTGTCCTTTAGGGGTGGCTGACGGCATCGGGTGGTCAGGCCCACTAACTTGGTTGATGCATGTCATCATATCCTAATTGCGTAGATCGATGTTCATGATGTCAGTCACTGGATTGTCACTTCTAGACCCGATTTTCTACAGATCGCTGTCCTTTAGCTGGAACACTGCTGAGTACGGCGTTAAACAAAAAATAAACAAACAAACAAACAAAACTGTCTGGATCCCTTGTGTCCCCTACTCGAACAATTATTAGAAACTAAAGTACCCTGTGAGTTATGGCATTATGGTGTCTTTTGTTGCCGTATTCGGTATTATATTTAGTTAGCTCCAGCCTCGCCTCATATGATTTTGCAGGGGCGGTCGGGTAGCCTAGTGGTTAAAGCGTTCGCTCGTCACGCCGAAGACATGGGTTCGATTCCCGACAATGAGTACAATGTGTGAAGCCCATTTCTGGTGTCCCCCGCCGTGATATTGCTGGAATATTGCTAAAAGCGGCGTAAAACCCCACTCACTCACTCACTCATATGATCCTGCTGGCCTGACATGACACCAAATATGGCAACTAAAACACCATAATAAATTTATAATGCCGAAATGTTTTCACTGTCTGGTATCTCTGTTGCACATGTCAAAATAAAAACTGGACACTTGCAACTGTTGACGTTAAGGGTAATGGGAGACTACTCTTCAAACCTTCGGGGCCAAACCTTGTTGAATTAACTGTAATCACATATCAATAAAGACATGAAAGTTATTTCTTTCAAAATTAATGTCCTTGGACATCACGATTAATTATATAAAAACACAAAACAGTGTCGAATACCGAACTTCTGGACCAGACTTGTTGTGTGCAATATGTGAGGTGGGTTTAGATGGCTGTTGCTGACGGTATAGGGTACAGGCCAGGAATACCAGCTTGGGTTTATACTGACGTCCTACGGGCACATGTGGGGTTAGTAGTTCTGCTTCTGATTGGTCAATATCACTTTGAGGCATTATAAATTGTATATATACTTCATGATCAAAGACTTGTTCGAGCCGCCGATCATATCACTTATCCCAACAGGTCCTGTGCTCAGAGTAGAGACGACTGCTAGTAGCGCTGTATTGGGCTCTGACGCGTCTGAAACGGAACATAGCACTTGAGAAAATGGGAAACCTGGGAAAATAAAGACTACTAAAATATAACCAAATCTTTCTGTTGTATTTCTTGAAAACTGACAGGAACTGAAATTTATATTTAGAATTGTCCCCGGAAATACCAAATAAAGAGAACAAAGTGTTGTGAGTATTATTATTGTTATTACCGTTAAACATCCTACAAAGTCTGAAACGAAACAGCACTTGAGCTGTATAATTAGTCACAAATTAAGACCACATTATACCAAAATCTACCTGTTGTATGTATTGACAGAAAATGAAAAGAATTAATATATAGTATTGTCTAAAAAAACACCAACTAAAGAGAACATAATCTTGTCAGTATCAATATTGTTATTTCCGTAAAACTAGTAAACATCCTGCAAAGTAGTTCATGAAAATGTACCACGGTAATGTGTTCTCCTACAAACTGTACACATAATGTCCTTCGTTTGTAAATAAGAAACGTCTCTTTTGCCTAGTGAATAGTTTGAAGATATTTCGATGAGGAGGTAATAGTAATCCTGAGTGCTGCTTCATGTAATGTATTTCCCACAACTGTTTTATGGTGACAAATAAAACAGCTTGAAACAGACACTGGACCATAGATGAGGCTATATGGCAAAAGACACGCATGAATGTCATAAGATGTTATCTGGAAGTAGTTTCCGTTTCTATAAGAAATTATGATATATGTTTCTGTTGTTGCAAAGATTTTGTGACTCTGCATACAGATGATAGATTCCTCATGAAGCGTTCAATAGGCGGTTTTACGCTTTTCAGACTTGATATATGAATATATGTTTGTTGCTAACAGTAGTATGTGCTGGTGTAATTTTGCATTTTTCTTGATAACCAAACAGATTGAAGAAGCAGTGACATGAAACATGTCTTGAAGGTTCTGGTTAAATCGTTGTTATAGTTCTCTCCAGAAACCATTAATAACATCGCATTCAATATAAACATGGAACGTATCTTGAAGGTACTGATTAAATCGTTGTTCCAGTTCTCTCCAGAAACCATTAATAACATCGCATTCAATATAAACATGGAACATACTTTTACAAAAAGAAAACTTATCATCATGAACAAGTTTCATTTACACAATTGCTTTTTTGAATAAAAAGTCTCTCATGCATAAATTTAAACTGACATCATATAATTTTGTGTCTCTTGCACAAACCAAACTGCCTGTTGTCTTTATCATGTAAGGCATATCCGGAGTACATGACCGGTTCTAGTTAAGATATCATGATATTGTCAACCTGTTTTACTTTTATTTTATGTTAATAATAGCGCCCGACATTTTCTTGGAACACGTATATGATAAAGGTTCATGTTTATTACCTTGTCCCCCATGATGGACGAAAGTTCCTGATCTAAAAACGTGCCCTTAATATTAAAGCTGTCCTTCAACTCCTGGAAATCCATTAAACCAATTTCGTTGCACGTGTCTTTAATTTAATTTATCTTCTTTTTTACCAAACTTTTCATCTCAAAGTCGGAAGTGATTGAAGTATTAAACCACAGAGGTTCCACAATTATTTCATCAAAATCAGACACACCAGATATTTCAATCATACTGTAGAACCTTACCCAATTCTGTAAAATAGCTCTCAAAAATAGGTTAAAGAAACAATATTCATACGAGCTCCATTATTTAAAAAAAATGTGGAAATAGAAAATAGGATATTTTGGCTGTCTTTCCCTGATGTCTTTTCCCGTTTCAGAAATGACAATTTTAAAGAATGGCGAAAGGCATTGAGATCTATCATTCGTTATCCACCTTCTTCATGGGGCTTAATGAAATATATCCACTTTATTTTATCAGGTTTGTCATTCCAGATGAAAACTATAGACATTATTGTTTAGCGTTTTGTTGTAACTTTCTGGCGGATTCGTCATTGACGTGAAAACATGCACTATTGTTGACAAGGAAAGTGTTTTGATTACCGTAATTGTGTCAATTAATGTCTACTAATTCCATACATTCTTTACATATTTGTTCGGGGAACTTTTGCGATACAAAAGTTGCGATATAGAGGATTCATCACGAGTGTTTTTTAATATGGGAAATATCAACCGAGTCTTAGTTAATCGGTATTTGCAGAGCCTTTGGCGAGGCAAATACCGATTAACGGGACGAGGTTGATATTTCCCATATTAAAAAACACGAGTGATGAATTCTATTTATCATTTTCACATTTTTGCTTCCCAATTAAGGAATAGTTGCATTAAACATTAACATCAGCAACTTGTCGAAATCTTACGTATAGATCGTGCGTAGTGATACATTTTTTCCATAGCCGTGTAAACCAAAATAAACAACCTCCTAACTCCTTTATGGCATATTCCTTCGCTGAGAAAAAAAGTTCCTCGGATTATTTTAAACAAAATACTTGAACAGACTTTTGCAGAATAATTGAAATAATGTCTCCAACATCAAAGGTATCCATGTTGTTTGTAAACACCTACTCACGTGCACCGGCGAAAAAAGTCCCACTTCCGGTTATCTAATTTGCATATCTAATTTGCATACGTATGTAATTGGGGTATGACATACATGTTTTTATGCCATAAGCTTATGTCATGGATAAATGCTTTAGTTAAATGATAAAAGGCTATATCTTTGTAAATATACCGCAGTAAGTCGCAAACGCAAAGTGGCAGCGGGAAAACGTGCAACCTTCCGCCATGTCTTTCGGAACAGTACTGCAGTAACGAGGCAAACAGTCGTGAGCAATAGATGTAGGTGGTTTTAAAAGGTTCCCTTACTGTATGTGTTGCCAGGTTGAACTGATGTTGTCCAGAAATTGTCCTTATACGGAGCTAAACCAATGGCCCAAGCCAAGAGTGATGACACGCCAATCTTCCAGTGGTCGTTGCCTGGATGGTAATCTCTGCTTACCCTTGCCTGAGAAAGTGAATAGTTATTCATAGCAGATGCATCAAATGCTGCTGTAAAGAGGGAAGTCGATGAGCACTAAATCTGCTAACAAGTGAGTTAAAATTACCATGTAAATGCACTTCTCGATGTCACTAAGGCAACATAGCTTTAATCTTACTCTGACTTATTATTGTTGGAAATGACCGCCTCCGTGGCCTAGTGGTAGAGCGTCCGCCCGGAGAGCGGAAGGCCCGGGGCTCGATCCCCGACCGCGTAATACAAAAAGACGTTAAAAGATGGTACTTGTTGTTACCCTGTCTTGCGCTCGGCATTAAGGGGCTAAAACAAGGACTGGTCGGCTCGGAGTCAGTGTACTGTGTCTGAGTGTTAAACTGCGGCATGGTATCTCAGTGAGCTAACACTATAAATCGGCATCAGTCCGGACTAGTACAAGCAGCCACACAAACACACACACGTACATGCACGTCCCTTTATAAGTGCAATAATCTTGGACGCGACATTAAACCCCATTTCCCCTCACCTATTGTTGGAAATAAAAAAAATCAAGAAAAGACATAGTTGTCAGTAACAGAGATAAGATAAAGTAACGTCGTCTGTAGTGTACCATATGGTAAAAGAAACTAACTATCAATTTCGAAAATACGCACTTCTGAGAGGTCAATTAGAGGATTCAAATCAAATGAGCAGTGATTGAAACGGCTGATTCGAAGACTCCATCTCCATGCAATCTAACATTATTTAAAAATCTATAGAAATACTTATACCGTAGTCGACGTAAAAAGCGCCCAGGGCGCACCCAAGTTTAGAAATAGGGGTCTCTTATATTATTAGAATATGATTTTGCTGAAAGGGTTGAAAGATCGTAAATTTCGTGGTTTATGTTGACAGTCATAAATGATACAAGAGAAGGCTTTGTGCGTATTATACACGACAGATATATTTTTCAAGATTTTAATTGCTCGTAATTAAGGGTGGATGTAGGTTACAAAATGCAGGTTTGGGGGTTACTGCAAATTTCAAAGTATGTGTGAGAATACATAAAGCACAATAGAAACCGAATCCTCGTAAGCGTTTTTCAAGTTTTAGGAACACTAGTTAACGTAACATTTTGGCGTCAAAATGAGCGTGTTTGACGTTATTACTGTGACGTATGGTTTGGAACTTAACTAACTGAACGATGTTGAAGACATGCTTACTCTTCCTCTGAGGCAAAGGGAAATATAAATATGTACACATTGCATAGGATTGTCATATATTTATCAAATGTTATTTTTATGAATACAACTTAGGCCTTCTTGACACATTAAGCCCATCATTTTATGTTGCTATACTAAACAATCTGCATGTTTCAAATAAAATTCTTGGATAAAATGCTTCTTGTTCTTTTCCTGTCACTTTGTTTTCATTAACTGACATTTGTGCACACCCACCTGTGTTACTACGGGAATTTCCAGCGACTGAAGGGCGTGGCGGGGGTAGGCCATACAGTACTGGATTCTCAAGCCATTCTTTGCTGCTCCATTACCCATCTCCTTCAACCATTGCTTGGCTAGATGCACGTCAGTGTGAAGCTGGGTCAACGAGTCAAACTGCTTGTCTAGAAAGTCCTGAAACAGAACGTGCTACATTGAAGACATCTTGTATACATATATGAATAGGAACACACTGATGCAGGTGCACAGTAAAAACTGTGACTTATGATTCACTAAAAAGAATATTAGAGTCAATTTTAATTCAATAATGATGGAATTCCTGCTTTAAAGTACTGATACCTGTAAATGTAAATTTTCTCAGAAAAATGTAAAATAGCTGCACTAAATGAAATGTGTACCTGTTCATAGACAAGCAGTCCCCACTGTCGCGCGGAAGACATGAGATCTGTCCAGAATCGCTGAAAGCAATGTGATCAGTTGTCATCAAATGATAATATAACATCTTTATATGCTTTGCTTGATTAAATCATGTTTGTTTTAAGGGAGCCGGTACGTATCCCCATGCTGCTTCCGGGTTACAATATGTCCCCAGCAAACTATGATGGTCGTATTGGACCGACTAACCGCTCAGTGACCTGGTTATATATTACATGTCAACGTATCCCGATGATGTTGATCGTTGCTCACGAGAGCACTAACTAGTTTGTCTGGTCCATACTCCGCTGTGTAACTGGAATATTTCTGAGTGCAACGTTAAAAAAAGAAGAAAAAAAGTGCTAACCTCTTCTGTTGGTATTGCTTTATGTCCATCAATAATGAAATTGTAGTTTCCCCCATTCTGCTTGGCATATGTGTTATTGGATGACCTGAGAAAGGAAGTTAAAAGATTTTGCAGCTTCCTGAATGATGGGAAGACAAGGGTCTACATCCCTTCGAGCCTCTCACGTCAAAGTTGCTCGAAGGTGTGTCATTTGTGATTTTGCACTCCAATTGTAAGTTATTTCGGCCACAGACTGTAATACAGAAGTTGTTCATCCATATATCGTATCCTTACTTATACTGTTTACATGCTTTTGTAAGTTGTTTACATCTTTCGTTATTTCAACCAGATACTTACCAATTATGCTCGTGGGGTTATAGGGATGGACAATTGGTGCCATTATCCCATGCAGGTAACAACAGCCTGGTTGCTCTCCTACAGCTAGATTATTCCTGGGTGGTGTTATGATTAATATATATAATCCAGATTGGTGGGTCCCAATGACTGATCGAACGCAATTTTCTATAATCGAACACAAATGATTTCGATTTCTCTCTCAATCCTGAGGAACATATGTTTACGGAGAAGAAACTCTGTAATTAGTGACTAGAAATGTGAAAATGCGTCGGTTTTTAAAGATAAAGATCTAAAATAATTATTTGTGTTTGTTTTTCTTAGGTGTTATCTGGTGTCACTGATCGCAAGATTGAAAAACAGCACAAGGACTCTAATTCATTCATGTCCATGACCTATCAATCGGGATCATCTGTTATCATGATTTTACAACCACTTCTCGACACAACTGACTATGGCGTAAAACAAGTTTCAGTCTCTTATAAGTCTTGCTTTGAAGTTGAAGTTAACTGATCCAGGTCAGAGGAAACACTATAAACGTTCATGGCTTTATTGGCATCTTTAAAACCGTCATCTCACCAGCAAAAAAAACGTCGTTTCTCTTTATGCACTTCTTCGAGTATAGTTTAGCTTACAAATGTTTGGGTGTGAGTGAATACCTTACCAAAACTTGCTGTGAGCCAGAACAGGAAGGTTCGTCTTGTTGTATAACCACCTACGTATCAAACCAAAAACAACATATGTATTTACAGGTTGTTGATGGTTTGTCGTTTAACGCCGCACTCAGCAATATTCCAGCAATATGACGGCGGTCTGTATAATAATCGAGTCTGGATCAGACAATCCAGTGATTGATATCATGAGCATCGATCCCAACAATTGGGATCGATGACATGTATCAACCAAGTCAGCGAGCCTGACCACCCGATCCCGTTAATCGCCTTTTACGACACGCATTGTCGCCTTGTACGGCAAGTATTGGTTGCTGAAGACCTATTCTATCCTGGAATCTTCTCGGGTCTCTAAAAAGGACTTTGTTCGATTCATTGCATGCATGGTTTGGACTAATGGCAACACTAAATGTGTAAACCGAGGTTGATTTTGGAGATTTTCAGGAAACAAATGGTAAATCTTTGTACAAAAATAAGTCTTTATCCCAAGCGTATATGCTTATGAGATGCAGACACAATAAACATATGATTAAAACATCAACCTTATGTCATGGACGTGCATACAGTTATAATTTCTCTTGAAGTGGAATAATTAGCCGTTTTCCCACATATAAGCCCATGCTGAAGAACACCTATAAGTTCCAAAAAAGGCAAACTGCTTGTTGTCAACTACTGGAACATGTCTGATAATTTGTAAAGTCACAGATTTCTGTAACTTAACATTTGACATTTACGTTCGGCCAAAATAAGCACCTAAGTCCTTTGAAATCGCAAAACGACCTTTGAAACACAGACGTTTTATATAAAGACATGTTGGATTGAAAGTACCAATTGAATAAACTCATGTTTATACAGCATGTACATTTTTGTCATGTCAGGCTTTCTTGTACAGCCTGTCCTTCAATGATTACATAAACATTCCTGTCATGTAATGCTTTCATATACATTCCTGTCAAGTACTGTTTTCTTATACATTCTTGTCATGTAAACCTTTCTTATAATTTCATGTCATGCAATTCTTTCTTGTTCACTACAATTATATAATGCCTTCCCGAAAAAGAGAACCATTTGACCATCACGATTGCATGTTTCCTACACGTACTCCATTCCGCTTGGAAACACATCACTCCGAGCCTTCCACTGTGTTATACCATGTTGGGAATCGACAGCATACCACCAATCGTCATACTGGAAATATCTGAAAAAGAAACAATGAAAAATGGTTATTCACAATTGTTGCTTTTTGTAACTGTTGATGTAAGCTGTAAATTTTGAAATACTGTATTTTTATTGTGAAATTCAACCTTTTGATGATAGTGTGTACTCTGTGTATCAATTTCGAACCTTCCCTAAAGATTTAAGCATTACTCTATTTTGAAAGATTTCGCAATCATCAAATTTTAATTTATATTTTTTTAACATTCTATATGATAAGAAATATTTATTTTGAAGTTTTAGTAAACATCAGAGCTGGTTTATCAACATACCTGACTGGAAGCCCGATCTGCTGGATGTAACTGGCAACATCCAGAACGGTGTCCTGGTAGTTTTTGCCTGCCTCGGTTCTTCTGTAATAATATGCACCTGTGAAAGGAATTTGCGTAAATTAAGTTCATCACCTTTGACAGAAAAGTCACAGGTATGAATTTGTAAGCGGGGAAACTTGGAATGAGGCCTATTTTCAATCTCGCATAATTACGAAACAAAAAGTCAAATAGGTTCGATTTTTCCAACAATATATTGCTTTGAAATTCGGCTATATGTAACTTTCATAACCTCATCTTGATA